GGCAAAGGAAGCATAGCACTTAAGAAATTTAAGCGGGGCAAAACGTTCATCTTGATCGTGTTTTGTGTTGTCTCTTTTTCCTCCTTTGAATGTTGTCTAAAATGCGTACAGTGCACTCATCATAACTGTGTGAATACAACCATAAAGTAGTATTAATGGTATTATTAAAAGCATGCAAACACACTTACATCTCTGTAAGCCAGGTCTGGTCCTGCACTCTCCACTGTGGTCCACACTATAGGAGAAGCAGAATGACATAGTACTACTGTATCCATTGATTTATTGGTGCCTCTTCTTCTCATACATGTCTTTATAGCAGGGAGAGACACTCTGTACTCACTTCAGCTCACACTTCTCCAGTACAGCCTTGAGCAGCTTCACTCCTGAGTATCCTGGGTGATTGTAGCTCAGGTCCAGCTTTCTCAGGTGTGAGGGGTTTGACCTCAGAGCTGAAGCCAGGGAAGAACAGCCTCTCTCCGTGACTCGACAGCCTGACAGCCTGCAGAGAGACAGACAGAAACTCTCCAATAAACAAGATCACCTCACCAATATAAAATGTGACTACTTTCACATTTACAATGTCACCTCTTTCAGTAATTACAGTTTGCAGTGTGGAATGCTCAGGAATACTGACCTCAGTATCTGCAGTATACAGTGTGGAATACCCAGGAATACTGACCTCAGTATCCCCAGTTTACAGTGTGGAATACCCAGTAACACTGACCTCAGTATCCCCAGTTTACAGTGTGGAATACCCAGTAATACTGACCAAAGTCTCCCCAGTTTACAGTGTGGAATACCCAGTAATACTGACCTCAGTATCTCCAGTTTACAGTGGGAATCCCCCAGTCCAGCAGAGAGCAGCTTCACTCCTGAATCCTGCAGGTCATTGTCACTCAGGTCCAGCTCTCTCAGGAGTGAGGAGTTTGATCTGAGAACTGAAGTTAGCACTGCACAGCATTCCTCTGTGAGATCACAGCTGTCCAACCTGCAAAAGGAGCCATGTTATTATACACACAGAGAGTATATGGCCCTGTCATGGAGAATACAGTGAACATTTTCATTACAAAGCATAAATATCCTGAAAGGTTTTGGGTGCAGAATATTCAGGAGCTGGATCAATCCAGTCAAATTTATATATATATATATATATATGTAACATTATTGGGAATATGGTCTATATGACTTCTAAATTACAGAGTGAGTACAGAGTATATATATATATATATCTCAATGTATTACTGCCAGAGCAGACATATTTTCACATCCCCACATCACTTACAGAGCCGTCCTGGAGTTCTTGACCACAGGCAGCAGCTTCCAGTGCTCTCTGTCTGGTCTGATGAATTTCTTCAGATCAAACACATCCAGCTCCTCGTCTGACATCAGTAACACAAAGGCCAGAGCTGAGTACTGAGCAGGTGAGAGGTCTTCTGCTGAAAGGCTTCCTGAATTCAGGTATCGTTGTACTTCCTCTACTAGTGAATTGTCACCCAGTTCAGTCAGACAGTGGAACAGGTTGATGGTCCTTTCTGGAGATAAATTCTCCTGTATTTTCTCCTTGATGTATTTTTCTATTTTTATGTTTTTTATTGCAGTCACAGATTTTTATAAAATTGAATTATACATGACCCTCCCCCCCTACACACACACACACACACACACATACACTTGTTTCACTATTTCATTGTGATAAATGAAACTTTAAATTCCACATCATGCATATTTTCTCTGAAGCACCACATACACATAGCACACGGCATACAGCTCTTACTCTGCTCCAATATGTCATACAGCTCTTACTCTGCTCCAATATGTCATACAGCTCTTACTCTGCT